ATTTTTTCTTATTTTGACCTATAAACGGCCCTAAGAAAGCATGTACATTACCATTCTCAAGAGAGAAGGGGAGTAGTACCTGAAATTGAAAGATTTTCAGGCTTGCCTCTTCCATACCGGGAATAGGGACGAAGGTATCGTCCCCATCTTTAACCTTGCAGACTTGGGCATTAGCCATCAGCAGAGGACCTGTCTGAGTAGAGGTTGCAGCGGCCATGGTCGTCACAGTGGCCGTGACAGGAGACGTTGTAGTCGCCAAGACCGGAGATGATGCCGAGGCAGCAATAGGAGAAGTTGTGGATGCTACGACAGCAGAGGTTGAAGTAGCAGAAGAAGCCATTACAAATAGAGGTAAGGAGTAAAGAATGCAAGAGTGCAGGGGCGCCGGAGAAAAAAGCCAAGAAACGGAGCAAGAAGACGAGAAGAGAAAGCTTGGGTACGAAGGAAGAGAAGAGCAGAATGGTAAATGTGATTTAACCCTAGGGTGAAAAAGGTCTTAAGTGAGGTGAATGGGCCTAAGGTGAAACGGGCTTGGCAAAGAAATTCAAAATTTAAATTGAATATTCATAACAGCCGCCAAAACGTTTCGTATCGCAAGACAAATTTATGGAGGAATGTGAGCACGCGCCGTCAGGGTGATCAATGTCATATCAAACGGTCATTTCATTAATTAGGAAGTCAAAAGCAGGTTTTCATCGAAGGAGTATGTTACTGAGCACTAGTTAAGAAAATCGATGAAGGGTCGAAGATAATTATTGATAGGAATTCAAATTCTCTTACCAGGATGTTCATTGAATTCCTAAGGGGCCATTTGTTAGGGTCACTCGAAAATCATATGACTCGGAAATGGTATTCGCGAAAGCTACTCGAAACGGAAAGGGTCAACACCAACCAGGATCGTATTAGTAGCCTTAATTGTTCGCGCTCGAGTTGGGATCGAAGAGAATGGGTCGAATTGAAGAGAGCCGAAGAGAGAAATGATCGAAGAATTGATAAAGTAAGTTGTTAGAGGTTTTCTAAAAGGGTTTGAGGAGTCAAAACAGAGCAGTTATTGGAAAGTGAATCAAAAAGATAAAAAGCACGTGGGATGAGCAGTTATGAGAAGTTATATGTGAGACCATGTAATGAGAACGTAGTGGATAACGATTATTTTCCAGTAACTCACACGTACACAACTAACTGCCCTTGATTAGCTCTATAAATATGCAAGGCATGGTAATTTACGGTGGTCGGAAAACTCATACTAAGACTAGAATCTGAAACACTCTCTGCCTGCGCATATGGCTTTCGTGCAAGGAATCGTTTTTTGGTATGACTAATTCTCGGCCACTTTCCTTTTTTCTTTTTAGGAGTAGAATTAGTGTAATTCTTTCAGTTTATTTCTTTTAATCAAGTAGTTATATCACTTTGCCATTGTAACTCTGGAACATTATGCAAGTTGAACCATGATTTGTATTGCAAATATCTCAATTATTCATTCTGTTCATCTTAGCATTTATGTGTATGAAAATTATTGCTTGTTAATTATTGAAGAATCTTTAGAAACAAGTAATCATTAATCTTCCTACTCCTTCTCTTCTCGTTTTATAAAACTCAAAAACATCACATATCTAAATTGAAACGTTTATCGTGCTAGTTGAAATAAAAAGAATCCATAAAACTAATTCCACCATAAACAGTCCTTAAAAAACTAAGAGAAGAAAATAAAATTAAATTAAAATTCAATTATGTACATTAATTATGAAAAAATTAAACGAGAGTTTTAATAAACGTAAGTTAAAATTCATTAGTGAATTTTAATTAATGAGATCATGCCTTTTTCTCCTTTCTATTTTCATTGAATCAAACATCATATTAGTCCAAAATTAAGGTTGCATATGCATATATTTCCCTTCTCTCCTTGACTTGTATTTGATTTGGCATTACCCCATCTCTGAATTGAGACAAGGACTATACATGATTTGGAATCCAATATATTTTTTCTATTATGTTAAGTTGATCCATAATATGCGTCTTGATATATATCCTCATAGCTTTGACAACGACAAATATTAAGAATATGATCAGCTTTAGGACACTTGGCAAATGGGGTCAAAGAAAGAGTGAAGGAGATAAACTTCCTAGCTAGCTAGAATTATGGTTCTTCTAGGACTTGTTTATTTGAGCACTAAGTTATTGCGACTTCGTGCATCACGCGTGGCTTGGTGCAGATGCATCAGTTGAACATTTTTCTATCCGACTTTATAAACTAATTAAGTAATAATGAGATTACAGCCACTCAAATCAGTGTCACCAAACAGCATAAATTGGAGTATGCGCCTTCTATTATCCTTGTATTTGTTATTTTATCTAACAATTGGATTGACTTTAGCCAAACATTAAATGTTTGTGTCACGTCAATTGCAAATTACAATCATTACTATCTTTATGATTATTTATGAATTTGTAGCAAATATTGTGTAATTTCTTTTATTAATATGTAACTTTTTAGTTAATTTTATAATACAAAATTGAGACAAAAATTTATTAAAAGTTATAAACTAATAAAATGTTACAAAATTTATACTGAAAATTAGGAACTCGTAACGATATTGTGATAATAAAAAGATTTAGTTCAGTTAGTTGAATTAAGTGCCTAAATTGTTGTAAGCTCATTGACATTGAGTTCAATTTCAATAGATTAAAAAGAATACTCTGACGTGGATATGATGAAATTAATTACAAGTATTATTCTCCTTTTATTGTCGAGTATAGAAGTTATGTTATAGTTGGATTTGGGTTCAAGTGGTGATGTCTAAGTCTAATGACACTTAGAATCACTTCTTACAACATATCTATTGGTTCTCATCATAAAAACAAAAGAATAAAATGGTTTATAGGTGGTGTTAAAATTAATAATTATAATCACACACACTACAAGAAAAATGATGAATTGCGACGAACAAATTACGACGGTTATCTTGAAACCATCGTTGCTTTGATATTGCGACCCTTCATACGACGATTTCTTCTAACCGTCGCAAATTTTTCAACATTGCGATGGTTTCTCCCAAAACTATCGCAAAATTTTCCAATATTGCGACAGTTTCTCCCAACCGTCGCAAAATTTTTCAAGAGAAACCGTCGCAATTTGTGACGGTTGGGAGAAACGATCGCAAAATTTTCCAACATTGCGACGGTTCCTCCTAACCGTCGCAATTTACAAGACAAAAATTGAAATAAAAATTTACACAAAGTAATGAAAAATCAAAAATTATATAATTTTCCTTTAAATAAAAAATAAAAAATAAAATAATATTGACATGTAATTACATTTAGAAATGTTAAAAAGGAAAAAAATACTTTAATATACTATATTAATTTTATTTCTCTATCCTTTAAATAATTTTAGAATAAAAAAGTTTTATGTTAATCCTAGGAAGCTAAAAATTTAAAAAATATATATGTTACATTTTTTGTATGTGTTAGTGAAATTAATAATACATCTTAATTGTGGATTAAATTGAGAATATTGAAAAAATAATAAATAATTTATTATTTTAATGGTTAATTAAATATGAGATATTTGATAAATTAATTATCTTTTCACAAATAATAACTTAAAAATCACTTCTAGGTTTGAATATAATACACACACACACATACACACACACATATACATATATATAACCCCTATTTAATTAGAATTTAAAAGTTATTTTTAGTACAAACTAAATATATTATTTTGTTCAAAAATTACGGTGAAATTTGATAAAGTTTAGGATTAAAAATACATTTAATAGTAGATTAGACCAAAAGTAATATTTTTCTTTTGAAAATATTATATTATCTTAATAAACTTATATTTTATTAACAATTTTATATATATTTTGTTTAATATAAGATACACAATTATCATCAAAAAATTATATATATATATATATATATATATATATATATAGAGAGAGAGAGAGAGAGGAGGAATCAAATGACTCACAAAGTAACTCTTGATAAAGTTACTTCACTGAATAACTTATGGTGTAAGTTGAATTTCATCGATCCAACTGTTAAATTAAAAATAATTAAATTTTACTGATAATTAATATAAAGAAAAAATGATTAACTTTGGAATAAATTATTTACTAACAATATAGTTGAAAAATTAATTATTTTAAATTACTTAACTATAATCTTATTGACAATTTACTATATGATCTTGATATTTTTGTATAACTAATACCTGATTTTAAATTTGATATGAAAATATTATGATATAATTAGATAAGATTTTAAATTAGTATTTTATTAATGATTGATAATTAGAAAATAAAACAAACATAAATATATTTTTTGAATTTTATATCTTAGATTAAGATAAATAAATATATTAAGTTAATTAATAATTTATTTAAAATAT